TTTGGCCAGAGGGTGTTACAACGTGTGGTGCCATCCGGAGGGACACATGCCCTGACTGTTTCCGTCCCACCCAGGGACAGTGTAGGCTTTGGTATGTCCCAATCCATGGATTATCCATCCTCATGCTGGAGAAGGGGCATTGTCTTACCTGAACGCCTTTTCTCAGCATGATGATGGATAATCCACTCCCATCCCTTTGGTGCCTGTCAGGTCCTGTGTCAAGGGTAGGGGAACCAACGTGTCAGACTTTGTCTGCTGCTTCGCCTTCATCGGAACTGGGGCAGCACAGCCCAGCGGGAGGCATGGCTAACTCTCGGACTTAGTCTATTGGGTAGAAGGGACTTCAGGAAATCCAATACGTGGATTATTTATCCTCATGCTGAGAAAAAACATTCAGGTAAGACAACACCCGTACTACTTGATAAGATAGAAAAATGTGGGTTAGACAGCATCACCACCAGATGGATTCGTAGCTGGCTGATAGGCTGTACCCAGCATGTGGTCCTCAATGGAACCGCATCTACATGGAGGGAAGTGTGTAGTGGGGTGCCCCAGGGCTCTGTTCTGGGCCAGTGCTCTTCAACATCTTCATCAACGATTTGAATAGATGGGGAACTCATCAAATTTGCAGATGATACCAAGCTGGCAGGAAAAGCCAACACTCCAGAAGACAGGCTTAAGATACAGGAGGATCTGGACAGACTTGAACACTGGGTGCTATTTAACAAAATGAAATTCAATGGTGAAAAAAGTAAGGTTCTACGTTTAGGCAAGAAAAACCAAATGTACAGGTATAGTATAGGAGGTACGTTGCTCAATAGTAGTAACTGTGAGAGGGATCTTGGAGTCCTAGTGGACAATTACTTAAATATGATCCAGCAGTGTGCTGCAGCTGCCAAAAAAGCCAACACAGTGCTAGGCTGCATTAACAGAGGGATAGACTCAAGATCACGTGAAGTATTAATACCACTTTACAATGCTTTGGTAAGGCCACACTTGGAATACTGCATCCAGTTTTGGTCACCACGATGTAAAAAAGATGTTGAGACTCTAGAAAGAGTACAGAGAAGAGCAAAAAAGATGATTAGGGGACTGGAGGCTAAAACATATAAGGAACGGTTGCTAGAATTGGGTATGTCTAGTTTAACGAAGAGAAGGACAAGGGGGGACATGATAGCAGTGTTCCAATATCTCAGGGGTTGCCAGAAAGAAGAGGGAGTCAAGCTATTCTCCAAAGTGCCTGAAGGCAGGACAAGAAGCAACAGATTGAAACTAATCAAGGAGAGAAGCAACCTGGAACTAAGGAAAAACGTCCTGACAGTTAGAACAATTAACCAGCGGAACATCCTACCTCCAGGAGCAGTGAATGCCCCAACACTGGAAGTTTTTAAGAAGAGACTGGACAGCCATTTGTCTGAAATGGTATAGGGCTTCCTGCCTGAGCAGGGGGTTGGACTAGATGACCTCTAAGGTCCCTTCCAACTTTTTATTATTATTATTATTATGGATCATCGCACAGTCAGCCAGATGTTCAAACTGGAGTTGGCATTTTGTCTACCTATCGAGTCCTTACCCAGGACCTGGGATAGACAGATGTAGATGTTTGATGGTATTACAGATATCGTCACAGGATGGAAGCAGTTCCTAGTAAGGCCGCCTTTTGCAATTGACTACTAGCGAATTTGTCAGTGCCAATGGTGTTCAAGTGGTGCTCCAGTTGTTTTGGGATTGCACCCAAGGAGCCTATTACTATTGGTACTACCCTTGCTTGCTTTTGCCACAGTCTTTCTATTTCTATTTGTAGGTCTTTGTATTTTGTTATCTTTTCCAGTTCTTTCTCGTCTATTCTGCTGTCTCCAGGCACTGCCACGTCCACTATCCACTATTTTGTCTTTCTTATCAACAATTGTTAAGTCTGGGGTGTTATGTTGCAGGTGCTTGTCTGTTTGAATTCTGAAGTCCCAGAGCAGTTTAATTTTATCATTTTCGATGACTTTCTCTATTTTATGATCCCACCAGTTTTTGCTTACAGGCAAATGATATTTTTTGCAGATCTTCCAATGCACCATTGTTGCTACTTTGTCATGCCGCTGCTTGTAGTCAGTGTGTGCAATCTTCTTGCAACAGCTTACCAGGTGGTCCACTGTTTCTTCAGCTTCTTTGCATAGGCGGCACTTACTGTCTGTTGCTGTCTTCTCAATTTTGACTTTATATGCATTTGTCCTTAAGGCTTGGTCTTGTGCAGCTAGAATTAGTCCCTCGGTCTCTTTCTTCAATTTTCCTGCTCTTAGCCATTGCCAGGTCTTGTTAATATCTGCTTTCCCAGCTATTTTTTAAATGTATTGGCCATGAAGTGCTTTGTCTTCCCATGCCTCTATTCTGTTCTTCATTTGGTCTTTCTTGTAGGCCAGTTTGGTCTCTCCAGTAGTCAGTAAGCCTTCCTGATATACTAAATTCAGTGCATCTTCATCATTGTTCTTCAGATATTCTTCCAAAGCCATTTTTTCTTCTTCAACCATCTGATGTACTTGTAGCATTCCACGCCCACCTATTTGCCTTGGTAGATAAAGTCTGTCAATGTCACTGTGTGGATGAAGGGCATGATTCATTGTCATTATTTTTCTGGTCTGCCTATCCATTGCTTTTAGTTCTGCTGGAGTCCAGTCCACTATTCCAGCTGTGTACCTAATGACTGGAATTGCCCAGGTGTTGATTGCCTTTATGGTATTTCCTCCATTGAGTTTGGACTTTAAGATCTTCTTCACTCTCTTGATGTATTCACCTCTAATCTTTTCCTTGACTTCAGTGTGCTTGATGTTGTCAGCTTGAAGGATACCCAAGTATTTGTAGTAATCTTCCTCATCCAGACTCTTAATGTTATTTTCATGGGGCATCTTGATTCCTTCAGTTTTCACTACTTTTCCTTGTTTGATAGTAGGTGTGGCACATTTGTCCAAGCCAAACTCCATAACAATATCTTGGCTATATATACGGACAGTGTTGAGCAGCGATTCTATTTCAGATGATGTTTTTCCATATAGCTTCAGATCATCCATGTAAAGGAGATGGGATAGTCTGGTAGATGTTTTTGATGTTTGATAGCCATGTCCTGAGTTATTCAATATTGTTGACAGAGGAAACAGTGCAATAACAAATAGTAATGGTGACAATGAATCTCCTTGAAATATTCCTCTCTTAATATTAACCTCTCCCAGCCTCTCACCATTGATCTGCAACTGTGTCTTCCATTGTGCCATCAATCTTTGCACAAATTTTGTGATGTTTCTACTGACTCCTGTTATTTCTAGGCACTTGATTATCCAGTCATGTGGCAGAGAGTCAAATGCCTTTTTGTAGTCAATCCATGCCACATTCAGGTTGGTCTTCCTTTTCTTGCAGTTTTCCAAGATCATTTTGTCTATTAGGAGTTGATCTTTTGTTTCTCTGCTATTATATTATTATTATTATTATTATTATTATTATTATTATTATTATTATTTAATTAAGACTAGTGGAAGGCTCTAATTTGAATTAATCCACTCCCTGCTTCCCCAGCTAATCAAGAATAATAAGAATGTTGAATTTTCATTGTGCCCTTACTATCTATGATTAAGCAAAGTTGTGTCTTGAGCGACTGAAGCTTGCAATAATGGTTCCCCTTTTTGAAAAATAGTATTTGGGTAGTTTGGGTAATTAACTTTCTACCATCCCAGTTTACTCTGTGTTTCTAGATCTATAAGTAGAAAAACATGCTGGAAAAGACAATGGCAACCACTTAACATCTACAAAAAAGTCTACATGGTTGTGTCTATGTAGTCACTAGATGTTGATCTCCATTCAAGATCATCTTTACTTTACTTTTATTTAAAGATGGAATATTATCAAACCCCCAATAAGTATTAAATTGGTTCCACATGTGAGGACATTTTTGTCCTTGCAACTTTGTCCACTGTTTTCTGTCAGCCAGAGAAAGAAAGTATATAATACTAGATCTTAACATTTATCCTAGTTCCATTATATGGAGTAAAATTGCAAGTTCTTCCAATCAAGCTTCCAAAGATAAAGGGTAATGTTGGGTCATTTTGGAAAGAACAAAGATTCAGTCTTGTAAACATGAGGAAGTGATAAGCCGCCTGGGAAAGCCAAGGGAAATCATCAAAACAATTAAAAAACGAAAGTTAGAATATTTTGGATATGTGATGCAATACCTAGAAAAATACGGCATACTCTATTTAATTCTCCAGGGAAAGATTGAAGGCAAATGAGGTCCAGGCAGAAAAAGAACATCATGGCTTCAAAATCTAAGGGACTGGTTTGGACAAAACTCAGCAGCACTTTTTCGTGCGGCTGCTGATAAAAACAGGATTGCCAACATGATCACTAACGTCGGATAACGGATATGGCACAAGAAGAAGAAGAAACATTCTACTTTGACATAAACTTCAGTGAATATAATAAAAGAGATGACTGTATATATTATTGCATTAGTGCTTAAATATCTGTTTGCTTAAGTACATTGTCAGAAGCATGTATTTTCTTACTATTTGCAGATATACATAATGTCAGCCACTTACATACATACATATCATGCTCTTCTCAATCTTGTTGGGTAAAATGCAGAAAGAAATAGCAAGGAAATCAAAAGCACAAGATTGAAAAAAAAAGGAAGGGAAATATAGGCAAATGTGCCTTGCACCACAGAATTCACAATAACTCTGTTCCATACTTTCCTATCCATTGTTTTTTATTCCTTAAACTTGTCAGTTCTTCTTGAGAATGTTAGCAATATCTTTTTTGGCAGGTAGATGTCGCATAAATTAAGTGAAATTATTTAATATCAAAATAACCTAGGTGAGATATATCTTATTCTATATTTTAGCCCTTTCCTTTGTAGTACTTAATTATTAATTAATATAAGTTAGGGCAAAGGTTTTAATTGTAATATTGTTCTTAGACTTTACTGTCTTTTTCTAATGTATTTTCTTTTTCTTTCTTTACAGTTCATTGCTTTTGCCTCTTTATTCTTTATCCTACTCTCAATTACCACTTTTTGCCTGGAAACCCATGAAGCATTTAATACCATCAAAAATAAAACAGAACCTATCAAAGATAGCGAGCCAGTTCTGCAGTATGAAATAGAGACAGATCCGGCTCTAACATATGTCGAAGGAGTCTGTGTGGTGTGGTTTACATTTGAATTTTTAGTCCGTGTTGTTTTTTCACCCAACAAACGTGAATTCATAAAAAATCTCTTGAATATCATTGACTTTGTGGCAATTTTGCCTTTCTATCTAGAAGTGGGTCTGAGTGGGCTCTCCTCTAAAGCTGCTAAGGATGTGCTTGGTTTCCTCAGGGTGGTGAGGTTTGTGAGAATATTGAGAATCTTCAAGCTCACTCGACATTTTGTTGGCCTCAGGGTGCTTGGTCATACACTCCGTGCGAGCACCAATGAGTTTTTGCTGCTGATAATATTTTTGGCATTAGGAGTGTTGATATTTGCCACCATGATCTATTATGCTGAGCGAATAGGTGCCAAACCCAATGACCCATCAGCTAGTGAACATACAGAGTTCAAAAACATTCCCATTGGGTTTTGGTGGGCTGTGGTCACCATGACTACTCTTGGATATGGAGACATGTATCCAAAGACTTGGTCAGGCATGCTAGTGGGTGCTCTGTGTGCTTTAGCTGGAGTGCTGACCATAGCCATGCCTGTGCCTGTTATTGTCAACAATTTTGGAATGTACTATTCTCTGGCCATGGCAAAACAGAAGCTTCCAAGAAAGAGAAAGAAGCATATCCCACCTGCTCCTCAGGCAAGGTCCCCTACATTTTGCAAGACAGACTTGAATATGGCCTGCAATAGCACACAGGGAGAAGTCTGTCTTGGCAAAGACAACCGGCTAATGGAACATAATAAATCAGGTAGGACACAATTCCAGATGCATGTCTGGTATGTCTGGCAATATAAAGAATGAGAAAGCATTTAAACTTTCTTCAGCTGAAGGAGATAGATCATTCACTTCTCTCTTCAACTATTATTTGTGTGCCAGTCTCATAAATGGCAAAGTAGCTAGATGTTCTTGGATCTGTGAATTGCTTTCTATATAGTGTTTGCTAAATGTATTCTGAATGCTAAGTTGCTTTTTGTTTCTTCTTTTTCTTTTCTAGTGATGGCTTCCTCTGTTTTTGCTTATTGCATTGTACAGATGCTTAGTTCATGCATGCTTGTGCTATACAATTGTGCTGTCATTCTACTGAATTTTTATCTTATGTAATGTTGCCCTTGTTTGCTGGTGTTACAAAATTCTAGCAGCAATCTTTACATTACTTAAACATAGGTTAGCTTAGGTTGTCCTATCCCAAATGAATGGCTTTGAGATCTCTAGTCACCATTGAAGTCAAAGCTTTCTGAGAGTCAAAGATGAGAGATGGACCCTAAGATGAGAGGGCGGGTCTAATTTACATGTAATGGAACAAACAATAATACAAAAATGTGTTTTCTAGATTACAATAATAGTATCATTTCATAATTTAGAACAGGTAGTAATTTCTCTGATATTCACAGCAGAACAGAACAATTTTTTGTAATAGTTTTAAAATTCTATAAGAATAATAACATCATTTGTCTATCTAAGTTTCACTTCTCTTTTTACAATTATGGCTATTATCCTTGACCTAGGAAACAAATATAAATTAAATTTAAGTTAAGTTAAGATCAGTAAGAAAGATATTTAATTTGGATTAGGATCTAAACTTAAAAGTACCTTATCTTAAGTAGACTAAGGTATGAATGCTACAAGATTGTAATTTAGAATTGCCTAAAGTAAATAATCCATAGAGTCTTTTGTTGTTATTAACACCGCGATCCTCCGTGTGTTTGTTTGGATATAAATACTGATAAATTAAGTGGAACTTTCCTTCAACCAACTGTCTTTCAGATAATAAAAGTGCAATTCTTTAGATATAATTTTAATAAATCTGATATACAGAGAGTTTTAAAAAATGCAGAAATGAAGAAACAATGTTTATGTTACATGAGCTAGGATAATGGGTGCTGGTGAGGAGAGATCAGAGGGAAATGAAATAGATTATCAGAGTTGGAATTTATATATATATATATTTAAATGTCTATATGTTCCTCAATTTCCACTGCTGTCAATAAAATTGCTCTATCTTAAGAAATATTAATACATTGCATAATATTATTTTTAGTCAGTTAATGAAAAGGCTTAGATATTATTAAAGAACTACAGTCTGCCCCAACCTGGTTTTCTTGAAATCTGATTTATACCCTATAATTTTCAAATAAGATGGCTTTATCTTGGGAGAAACATGATTGGAGAAGAGAGCTTAGCCTTTTTTGTAAATATCATCTGCTCCACAGTTGAGCTAAAATATGGTTTGATCCTTGAGTATAGATTTTTCTTCGAAAAGGAGACAGCATAGAAAAGTATTTAGTTTAATGTGTTAGTAAGAAGGTAGGGGAACTTTAAAACTTTTATATAAAAGGGAGTTCTCAGAGTGTGTAATGTTACCAGATTGTTAACAGACAACCTAGAAAAACCAAATTTCCTTTGAAGTAGCAGAATTTGAAACAGAGGGAACCTAGACATATCTGTTAAAACAGCAGATTGCTGTGAATTGCTAAGGACCACTAGTTGATTGTCTACCATATAAACCTTGCAACATACTCTACCTATACAATTTGGGGCTTACCCACTGAATTTAGCCACTAGCTGTATTGCGGGTTGCCTTTTGATTAATGCCTTCCTGCTTTTGCTGCCCTATGAATATTTTACAAAGTAACACATTTATCAACATCTTACAGATGATAGGCTCATGAGCTGCATTTAAATTTGTGACTTACAATCTCTATTAAAGAACATTAAGTTACTCATTAGTGTCTAACATTATATTGAGTGACAGATTGGCCTTAGACTGCAGGTGTTGCATATGTAAAAGCAATAGTGAAGTGTTAGAAAACAGAGCTGTGGACATTACGTAACCTATCTTGTGAAATATACTGTCTCACTGCCAGAACTGAAGAAAGATCCTAACCTCAGTGGCTTTTCCTCATGAAATAAACAGGAGATTGCCACCACCTTTATTTTAAGCAGCAAAATATTTTGGATGAATCCAGAATAATTCCCTAATTATTAATTATTAAATTTAGAAATATAATATCTGCTGTTATAAATGCCAATTGATTTATTTCAGTGGTGGATGAAATGCTATAGTAACAACATTTGCTGCCTTTTTTAAATACTGAAGATGCTGAGGCAATATATAATACTTGAGACAACATCAATCTAAAATGGTCAGTTTGCTCCTTAGGAAGTCATAGATTTTCAACTTTATGAGGAACTTTTTTTTCATTTCATAACTTACTGCTACTTATTCTTTTTTACCTTTAGTAGTAAGAGTATAAGGCAAGTTATTTGTGATGTCTCGTTTATTCATTGGCTATATGATGTAAATGGGCATGGTGCTTTGACCAGTGTTATCAGGTGAAGACAGTACAGAAAGTGAGCAGCCATTGCCACCTATGGAAAGGCCCCCAACAATCAGACGCTCTAGTACCAGAGACAAAAACAGAAGAGGGGGAACATGTTTTCTACTGACAGCAGGTGATTACCCATGTCCTACTGATGGAGGAATCAAGAAAGGTATGGATTTTTTCATCAGGCTATAAATGTTATCACTATTCTTCTGAACAAATAATCCTAGAATAAAGCAAATGTGAACACATGCTATAGGAAATACTATATTCAGATCAATGCATTTTTCCTTCATATTTTCTTTGTCCCTTTCTTGTTCATATTAGAAATGTCTTCGGCTCATTAATTCATTGAAAAATACATCACTGTTTCGTTCATGATTTCATTTGTCTACCTGAAAAAATATAGATGTAGCTTAGACCATTTTCATTTAAATTGATTTCTAAACAACTGGAAATTGCTGTGGGATAGCTTAAATGTAAATCAGTTGCTAATTATTGTAATTTAGTTTATGCTGTAGAAGAATGGTTTAATTAACTCAGGTAGATAAAACAAAGTTCTGAAAAAGAAACAAAAATTTTAAGGTACTATTTTTTACAAAGTGTTTAAATTGAAAGAAGGAACATGGTTACCCTAAGCCACTAAGTTAAGGATAGTTCCACTATGTTGAATAGAAAATTGCTTCAGCTACACCGGTGTTACTACGTTTTTCCCTGCAGCAAACTAATGAAAATTCAATGGCATGCCTAGGTCACATGCATCTTTGAATCTCAATCCAATCTTTAAAAACATCCCCCCCAAAAGAGAGGGTTATTTATTGTTTTATTTCTTTAAAAAAATTAAATACTACTTTGCGTTAGGATCTGGAAGCAGCATTTAAAAATCCATATCCACTTTTGTTCACAATTTTCCATAACATATGGCATTTTAGTATACACTTTCTATTGCTGTATATAGTTGTTAATATAAATTCCCCAATAAATCATTTTTAAAGCAAATTTCTATGATGCTAATCTTTATTTCATAAATTTCCCAATTAGAGCCTTTTAAAAATGTACATTTCCTTAATATTTATGTAACTACCCCTTTTTGTATGCAGCATTCAGAAACATAACACTCTTTTTCAGATGCATCTTTCACAAACAAATGGAATTTTTATGCGGATTTTTGACCAGAGAAAGATGGACACTAGCGGACTCAGTTCAGTGCTACTGTCTTTATTGCAACACAGTCCATACTGGGGAATCTTGCAAATCTGCTCCCACAGATTTCTTTTACATCCCTAGGTATGTCATCCTTATTTTATGTGTTTGTTGTGGGAAACCCTGGTGTATTTGCAGCAATTATGGGTGCTATCTTAAAGGAATGTTGTTTCAGAGATCAAATAGCATCTGTGTTTCTATTCATCTCATCCTCTACAGTTCCTATTGACTAGATAACCTGCATAGTTAATTTATAGACCAAGACCAGGAAGTCTTGGACTATGTCCAACTCTGTAATGGAAACTGTGTATTTTGCCTTGATATCTCAGAAAAAGAGTGATATAAATTTAACAAAAATAATACATAATTGTTTACACAAGAGTGAGACTCAAAGGTGTTTTTTTCATGAGGCAACTGGACTTTCTTGTTTTTCTTTCACGACGTTTCGCTTCTTGTCCAAGAAGCTTCTCAGAAGTGAAACATCTTCAAAGAAAAACAAGGAAGTCCAGTTGCCTCATGAAAAAAGCACCTTTGGGACAACCATGACCTGGATGACTGAGAATCTCCCTAGACACGATAGGGATATTTCCTTGGAAATAAGTGGCTTCTTTAGATTGTAGCTATTATTATACATCTTATGAAAGTCTTAAGAATTATCACCTTTGTTTTGTGTATAATTCAGTTACAAAATACAGTATATTTTAGTTGCTTCACAATGGATTCTTTATACAGTAAGTGGAACTTATTCCCAGTTAAACTTATAAAATGGTAATCCAAATAAAAATGCCATTTTGTGTATATTGCATTTACCCGAGAATTAGTTGCTTTGATAAAGAATCCATTGCTGCTTCAACATAGATCAGTCATACTTAATGAAGTAGGCCACAGACTAAACTTGCTTAGTAAATTCATATTTCATTTATGTTGAAACTATAGTTTGTGAAATATTGGGTGACTCCTTCTCTATCACCTTTGCCCAACTCACAAGGGACATAGGTTTTAACGATGGACCTCTGCAGTGCCTAAATTAGTAACTTCTAGCTTAGATAAGATAATACAACAAGATCCTACTACAAGTGAAGGAAGGGGAGGGCATCCAGCCTAATGCTCACTTCTAACATAGTTTTATGACGAATGATCCATATCCATCAAAGGAGTTTCTATAGCTCTAGATGTAATGATTACTTAATAACATTTAAATACATTTATTTTAATGTTCTAAGTGCACTTTCTGTTTTTATTTTTTATATAACCATTAGAACATTTCAATACCATGATTTTACTGAATCATTAAATACTAAAAATATAAACATATTTTAATGAATTTCAAATCTTGTAAATATTTCAAATATATCATATTTTAAATAGTATTAGATGTAGGATGTTGGATGCCTAATGGGAACACTTTTGCAAATGGAACTTTTTAACAAAATAAATGTAATCTCTGGGGTTACAAATACAAAAATAGATTTCATAAATTTAGGTATAGAATGTTCTAGGTCATAGAACTAGTCAATATATTCATCAGCCTTCCCCTGGTGCATTCTGATTGACGGATTGGGAAATATGCTCTATAACTATGATATTGAGTTACATTATAGGAGAGCCAGTTATAGCATTTGTTTTTTGTTTTTTTAAATATCACTAGTGACACCTTATTTTTTGTTTATTATTTAAGAAAATATTAGGACTTTTATAAGCGCCCATTGAAAACATATTATTACATTGCACTGTGTTGTGTTGTTTGTCTATTTTCTGACTGAACTCAACTAATGTCTGCATTTTCTCATGAAAGGCTACGAAAAATCCAGAAGTTTAAACAACATAACTGGCATGGCAAGCAATGCCTTGAGACTGTCTCCAGTAATATCACCTTACAGCTCACCTTGTCTAAGACGCTCTCGATCTCCCATTCCATCTATCTTGTAAACCAGAGGCTATAAGTTGATTACATTACTGCAATTTAAATGCTGCTTATTAACTAACGGGATAGCTATAGTATTAACCAAGTTCTATTTACAGAAGTATAAATCTGTGTTATACTTGTTAGTGTCCAACAGTAGCACTTGGATAGCTGAAGATTCTAATTTTGCTTGTAAGATCTTCTGAAGTACAGTAGGCTTGATTCCTCTTCACTGCTATTGTCCTACATTACCACAGCAATAAAATAACTGAACAGTGTAAATAAATGACCATATTTTCAGGGAGATATATTTAAATAAATGTGCTTCCATTGATAATTATTCCATTGTACCTTCATTACTTGTGATTCCAACCTTTTCTGAATATGTCAGATCTTGTCATAATTGCATAGGATGTGACTTCAGTCTAATCATGTTCATTGACCATTCTGTTTCCATTACCTGAAATCCATCTTGCAGATTAATTGGAATCTTAGATGACCTAGGACTGTGTAGATCTGTTGTTGTTTTAATTGTACCATCTTATTGAAATCAGAGTGATGTTCGATGGATCTGCATGTGGGATTGGGTAGTTTGTGTTTATTTTGGTTCTCTTTTATTTATTTTTTTCAAAAATGTTATTTCTTGATTGATTTATTTTAGTACTGGGTTAATATATCAGAGTTTTGAATATTTCTGGTTGTTTGCACACAGATAACTGCAAAGAGGTTGTCATTACTGGGTACACGCAAGCAGAGGCCAGATCTCTTTCTTAATGGCTTGGGGAAGGCACAAAACATGAAAGAAAGGTAAACACAGTCCAGGCTTGCAATATTAAGTTAGCAAGTGCTGCTTGGTAGTACAGTCATTTCTCTTCTCCAGGATTTTTCAACATTTTCAGATGCAGAGTAACAAGGTTTCTTTTTTTCTGTTCTTTAGTTTAGTTTTTGTTTGGGTTTGTCATAGCTGTAAGAGGACAAATAGTTCTAAAATGGGGTTTTGACCAGCCATAAACCTCTAACTCTAAGGCTTTCACAATTTATTTGTCAATATTTCTTTATTTTTTCTTTAAATGCTTTGTCATGTTTGTTGTGTCACAGTTTTCCTGTCTGTATTTTTCATCTGTCTTCATGTTCCACAGTTGCCTTCTCCAAAGCTGCTCTTTTCATGTAAGTTTAACTGCTAAAAGCATTTGCTTCCTTCCCCCACTTTTTGACACATGTATCTATGCATATGCCAAGAATAGCTTGATAAATGGCCACTTCCTTAACATTTTTCAAAAGGTGGGATTTAGCAATGGTTTTGTCATTTCATTAGGATTGCGGCTTCAATCCCACATTTTTACAAACTGCATTCATTTTTATGTTCAAATTTTATTCTCTATAACTGCTTTTTCTTTATAATAAAAACAAGGTGACATGATTTAAGCAACACTATGAGCTTAGTTGCAGATATGAAGTTTTGGGCTGGTGAGGAAAAACACTCAATAATGTGAAAGACTACAGGTTTTTTTTTAAGTATTATAAGAGATCCTTCAGATTGTTGAAAAATCCCAAATTTTTGTATGTTTAGGATTGCTAAGAAAACAAGTCTATCTAAACATGTAATGTTCTTTGCATAAGATGCATGTAGATGTACATTTATTTTGGTAATAGCACTTGCAGATATAGATGTACAGTACATATATTTAATATGAAAATAGATTCATCAAGAAATTAATATATGATGCTGCTATTATTGGCTACAGTGTTATACAGAATTTATCATGGATTTTTGACTGCTGAAAAAGGGACAATGGAATTTAGCCATATCAAGGACTGTACTGGAAAGAGACTGCTCCTCCTGAATGGGCCCTGATCATCACCTAACGCCTTGAAGAGATTCTTCTAATTTCCTATGGAAGTCGAGCTTGTTATGAGAATTAAGGACCAATTTTAACAGCTGCTGTCAGCAGATGCAGTTATTAGTCACTATTGATGAGTCAACTGTAAATAAGATGTGTGTGCATGGAATATCAGCTTTAGACATCTATGCCAAGGGATGCTGCATCTCTGAAACCTCATGAAAAAAGACTAACACAACTTTTTGTGTATTCTTCTTGGTCACTACAACAGGCCATACTGTGGATCATAAAAGGCACACAATTTAACAATAGTGATGTTAGCACATACATTTCCTCATAGCAACTGTATTTTTGCAAAGTTTGTAACTTAAGAACATTAATGTCATAGGATTTTTCAAGAAGTTTTTGCACTCTCAGTTTGCTTTATCTATATTTTTATGAATTCTATTGAATATGCCAAGAGATGGTTTAGATTGATCTGGATTACACAGAGGTATGAATGCAGGTGAAAGAAGTAAACTAAAGAAAAAAATCACAGACTTTGCCAGAAATGTATAGATGCTTTTTGTTGTTGTTTTGATTTACTTCATTGTTACCTCATAGGTATTGAAAGAAATAAAATATGGGCAGTAAAATATATTATAGTTTTTTTATTGAAATGATCACAAAACGATATTAGTAAATCTAAAGTAGGAAATATGATATAGATCTTAAAATGTATATTTTGCATAACAGAGAAATTCTTTACTTTTTTGTGATTTTTGTGATAAAATTGTTCTAGTCTATTCAACGTCTATGATGCTTTGTTGCCAGGTACTGTGTGATAACTTATGTTCTCTCCCTGCTGTTTAATAAGACTTTCTCCAGAAACTGTTTGTCACTCTATTTTGAATGTAAGAACATTTCCCACATATGAAACTCTGTATTGTGGACCTTTCTGTGAAACTGTCAAAAGGTGCATGCAGAAGCCTGGTGGAAGCCTGTGGCCATGTAACCAATCAAAATAGAGAATAAAATACAAAAGATCTTGGGGAAGACGTTGGAACACAACTCACAAAGTTGCTCATATTTTCTTTTGTCTACTGTTTTCTTTTTCTTGCTCCTTCTTTGGTTTAAGAAGTATTTGACCATTCTGATTATAGTGAGTGTCCTATATAAAAGATTATTTCAGGATGAAATCAGTGTCCCATAAAACAAGAGGACAAATGCACGAATGAAGAGAGACAGTGCTGTCATGCACCTCTCTTTTAATTACAACCAATCTGTTATCTCTGAAGCAAATTGTTTCCTGCCTCTAAATTATGTTCCATTTCTGTACAGTTCATTGCACTGCAATCCTATACATATGTGAAATACATAGCAACTAGTTTCAGTGATAGTAAGACTGTGGTATTATAATTCTCATAAAATATTTTCATCTTCAATACTTCACTTAACTGTGGAAGAACTGTCAAAGGGAAGGAGGTTTATTTGTATATACTTAGTGTGCTTTTCAAGAAATTGTTTATATCCATATATAGTTCCTTTTATGTAAGAGGAAGTCTAAAGGAATACTACCATCCTTTTGTTGGTGACTAAGCATGAAGGAGGAATATACTAACTGTGGCTAACAATGGACATATGATAAGCACTTCCTCTTGTAATACATGAAGACTAAAGTCAATGGAGTTTGGAGAGTCCGAACAGCCAAAATGGCAATCATAGCAGCACAACTGAATTAGCACCTGTTTTGTATATGTGTTGATGTCAAAGATATGTATAATGGGGACAGGCTTCAATCATGCTGATGCCTCTGGCCTATAGTCTGCTGTTCAAACATAATCTTAGAAGTGGCCTGTTAAATTTATTTAGCACTATATAACATTGTATATCATTTTTAAAATGCAGTACCTATTTTTTGAAAGTTTAAAAAGTCTCAGGGAAGCAGAATATCAGAAAAGTGCATTGTTGTTGTTAGTTGCGAAGTCGTGTCCGACCCATCGCGACCCTGTGGACAATGTTCCTCCAGGCCTTCCTGTCCTCCATCATCTTCTGGAGTCCATTTAAGCTCACGCCTGACTCCATCAAGACACTTCATTCTCTGTCATCCCCTTCTTCTCTTGCCCTCAATCTTTCAGAAAAGTGCATAGACACTGTCTAAATTGAACATTTGGAATTTCCAGACTAAGGATTGCTCATTCAGATCTTATGTGTGTTGAATAGGAGGGTTTTTTTGTATCAGGCCCAAATCCAAAGACAACACAGCAAAATCCAACTGAGTCCAATAGTTTACTTGCTTACACTTAATGGACAGAATCTTGCCAATCTAAAGTTCTAACCTTCTAACCTACAAGGTATATCCTGAGAATATCCAGATATGGCTACCCTGAACCTCTTCCCCCTCTCCCCCAGGTTGGGACTGTGCGGTCTCTTAATTTGGCTTCCTTTTATTGGAATGTACTCCCTCCTCCTTGGGAAATCTCTGTGCTGCTAACATGCCATTGCTTCTTGTCAGGAAATTGTGCAGCAAGTGTCCAAATGAAATCAGAGATGCTAACACAAACTTGTAGTTTTTTTTATAAATAAATATATTTTACATCTATATATACAGCAAACAAGACAGGCACATCACTACATCATGAGGTAAATCACAGAACACACAATGCATATAGAAGAAAAAGGCGGGGGGGGGAGGGAAACTTCCCCTGCACACCACAGCAACCAATCACAGCGCAGATTGCCACATGCAGGAACCAGCATTCTCCAGTCAATCATAACTGCATGTTCTGAACAACCCAGCTACTAAATTTAAATATCACCCCTTCAATTTATAGCTGAACAGCATTTAAACCAAGTTGTTTCACAAGATATTTGTGTTTCTGCATACCCAATGGCTTTGACATGAGGTCAGCCAAGTTATCTTCCGATGGTCAATAAATTAGGTCTGTTACATTTTCTTTCATTGCTTCTCTGACATTACAATATTTTATGTCAACATGTTTGCTTCTGGTTTTTATTCTCACCTGTTGACATTTGTATACATGTTTGTTATTTTCAAATACTGTATAGCAACTTTCATTTCAATAACCAAATCCTTTAACAATTGTATATACCATGTTATCTCTGAACACAACTCTGATGATGCTATGAATTCTGAAAATGCAACTGAAATCTGTTTTCTAGATTTCCAGCCAATTAGTGTATTTGTAAACATTACAACAAATACTGAAATTGACTTTCTATCTTGTACATCATTAGCCCAATCAGTGTCTACAAAATATTTCAATTTTAATTCATTTTATGGTTGTAAATGCAATCCCAAATCCATGGCTGATCACTCTCACAACCAGGCAGAACTTTTATTATACATATTAGAAAACTACAACATTATATTACTTTTCGACATAATCACCATTCAAATTGAGGCACTTATCATAACATCTTACAAGGTTTGAAATTCCTTAGCAGTAGTTGCTCAGCACCAAATCTGGGTTATGGGGGGGCGGGGTTGTGATCAAAAACATCCCAATGGAACTGCTTCAGAAGTTCTGGGATGTGCAGGCGAGCATTATCATGAACCACAGCAGAATTCAGCATGCCCCAATGCTTGTTATGGATAAACTGAGTTTCATACTGTTTCACAGTAGACGTCTAAATTGATGGTCGAACCACACTCCAGGAACTTCACTAGCAGTACTCCCTTGACAGCTTCACATTTGGCGGGATTTTCTTTGGCACCACTTCCAATGTGGTGTTGGTTCACGATAATGCTCACCTGCACACTGCTAGATGCACCCAATTGAAGCAGTTCCGTTGGAATGTTTTTGATCATCCCCCATAGCCTAGATTTGGCATTGAGCGACTACTACTAAGGAATTTCAAACCTTGTAAGACGTTATGACAAGTGCCTCAATTTGAATGGCGATTATGTCAAAAAGTAATGTAATGTTGTAGTTTTCTAATGTGTATAATAAAAGCTCTGTATTGGCGAGTGTCTGTCATTGATAACCAAACAAAGCAGTATTGATATCAAAATGGTGCACCTTATAATTTTGCGATGCTGCTAATTGAAATGGTCAATTCAGAAGACCCACATAGTAGAAAATGTAAGAGTAACCGAAATGATCACAGAAACATTAATACATCTGATGAATGAGGAACATCTTTCCAAAGTGCAGTTGTTGCTTTTTTTATTACAAAGAATGCTCCATCTTGGATTTTTTTCTCCAAGACATAAGAAATACCTTCCCACAGACTTTTGATCATTTGCACAGTGAGCGAGCTTGAGGTCAGAATATGGAACCTATCAGCTCCAAATTACAGAATAAGGTAAAGAGACTTCATGTTTACTAAATAGTGTTTTAAATATGATTGTATACCAGATTAAATCATTTTTAGTGGCAATATGAAAGGGTGATTATTTATATAGTATGTATCCTATAATCTAAAAGATCTCAATCTATTGAAGTTTGAAATTTGTAAAACATTTATATGCAAAGAATAGGAGTCTTATGTAAATAGGAAAAATTAAGGGGAGAATGGGAGATGGCTAAAAGAAAAATTGCTGGTAGAGGACAGTATTCATTTTCGAAATCCAAATTATTTTTCATATGAGTAATCATTGCAGTTTACTTTCCTTGCAGTAAGGATTTTTTTTAAAAAAATAACTTGATTTGATGTATATTGTCTGAAATGAGGATGAATTGATTAACATTGATTCCCTAACAGTTTTCACCATGAATGTTGTTGTTAGTTCCTAATGCCTATAAAATGATGAAGCATAATATATTATTCAATGTTCATTGCTAGGTTTATTATTACAAAACACTACAAACTAAAATAAATCTTTCTTTGGATTAGTGGTATTCAAATGTGAGAAATTACAGTGGCATAAAATTACTATAACTACTAAGAATGATGAAAAATGGCACAATAAAGAACAATTCTCTAATAACCACGATTATTTATAGAAATAAGGTGTTTCCTAATATATTAGGCTCTGCTAAATATATGTTGTTCTAGAAGATTAACATATTACATATGGATGATATATTTGTGTTTTGTTGTAATCTCAAATGTATTTTCATAGTTTTGTATGTATACCTGAATCAAAGGAAGACAACACTGAAAGTAAGAAGATTTCTGGCTCCTAAAAGGTAGTGTAGATACATTTTTTTTTTTTATAAACCCAGTGGCAGTATTCAGTGCTCAGTTTTCCTATCTGTAAAATTAAACTGCCAACTGAAACTAAAATAACCCCCTCTCTCCAGTAAATTTGTACATATCCCACATTTGTGTGTATGTGTGCATGTGTATAATTCTATATTTCAAAAACTGAATTAGTATTTACTAATTAAATTGCTTGTAAAATAAGATGTTCTGTTTATAAGAATCTCCCATCTGATCAATTATTTTACTTCTAGCTAGCAGAAGAATAAAAAAACAGGAAGGGTGTATTTATAAAAGAAATGAGATGAAATTGTGGGGATATGAGTAAAACAGGATGAATACAGAAAAGTTGGGGAAAGAAGTAAAGGAACAGGAAGGAAATAAAAAACAAGTTATGCTTACCAAAAAACCTAAATGTAAGCAGGCAAATAGCCTTTCCCAAGCAACAATATCAGGGAGCGATATTTGGAATCCTGCCTATTCTGCTTTCTTCCATTCTTCCAATTTATTCTTATATAAAAAATCCTAATCTAATCACTGTGTTTATATGAAGGGGAAATGTATTTTCCTATCTGACTAATACAGTGGTTCTCAACCTTTCTAATGCCGTGACCCGTTAATACCGTTCCTCATGTTGTGGTGACCCCCAACCATAAAATTATTTTCGTTGCTATTTCATAACTGTAATTTTGCTACTGTTATGAATCGTAATGTAAATATCTGATATGCAGGGTGTATTTTCATTGTTACAAATTGAACATAACTAAAGCACAGCGATTAATCACAAAAACAATATAGCAATGCTCGATGGAGAAGCTTATTCTTCGTTCAAAAATGTTGGGAGGGAGGGTTGGGAGGGAGGGAAGGGGAAGGAAGGAAGATTGAAGGGGA